CTATCGGGTGACGACCAGCGTGTCCGAAAGGGGTTTCGGAGGCCCCGGCAAGCGTTGGGGGCCTTATGGGCCAAGGGGATGGGGCACATCAGCCCACTAAGGGGTTGTACGCCCCTCCCACCCCATCTCACGTAACCTGGAGAGGTGGGGGCGCCTCCCCTAGGGAAGCCGCCCCTCCCGGCTTTGGGGGCACCCAAACCCATCTAGGGTTTCCCCTGTGGCCGCCACCCCTCCCCTAGGGAAACCCTAGGGCGCCTCCTCCTCCCCCCTCCCCCCTATATATACCGAGGGAGAGAGAGGGCAGCCGCACCCCTTCCCTTGGCGCAGCCCCTCCCTCCTCCAACACCTCCTCCAACTCCATAGTGCTTGGCGAAGTTCTGCAGGAGAACCACAAGCTCCACCACCACGCCATCGTACTGCCGGAGCTCTCCCTCAACTTCTCCTCTCCCCTTGCTGGATCAAGAAGGAGGAGACATCCCCGGGATGTACGTGTGTTGAACGCGGAGGTGTCGTCCGTTCGGTGCTAGATCGGATTTTCCGCGTTTTGAATTGCTGCGAGTACGACTCCATCAACCGCGTTCTTGTAACGCTTCCGCTTAGCGATTTTCAAGGGTATGAAGATGCATTCCCTTCTCTCTCTCGTTGCTAGCATATCCTAGATTGATCTTGGTGACACGTAGAAATTTTTTGAATTATTACTACGTTCCCCAACAGAAGGGTGGTAGATGTGTTGTAGTTAATGGTCAGAGTGTGTTGAAACTTGTGTTAATTTACTGCCATTGTTCATTGTCAAAGTTATGTATAAGTTTGATGATTAAGATTTGTGTAGACATAGTGAGGTGCAGCAAAGTTCACATAGATTCACATAGATTCAGAAAAGTTAAGCAAAGTAGACAGATACAATCGAAACAACATCACAAACACTAACTAGATCCAGTTGCGACAAGCAGCAAGGCCCGATTGCGACGAGCGACGAGGTCCGGAGGCCGTGACGGCGGCTAGTCGAGAGGGAGTGGTAAAAAAGATACAAGGCGAGATGGCTAATTTTTTCACTTGGCGAGGGAGTAAAAGAAAATATACAAGTGTTGGCGCGGACCTAACAGGCCACGACATAACTAAGGTAGGTTCCAAAAAAGTGCCCAAAAATAACCTGTGACGTGTCTATTCAGCCCACGCTACAACTTGTCCAATTTATGTTGCGTGTCTACCTTTACAGACAGGGGCGGAGCCAGTCTAGAGCTGGGCCCCGGGCCTGCTTCATTGCTACAGTGATGAACAATGATCAGCAGTACCATTTCTGCTACAGTAAACGAAGGCAACTCCCTTCACGACCCGGGCCAGGGCCCCCAGGCCTGGGTTGTAGCTCCGCCACTGTTTACAAATGCCACTAATAGTGTTCGACATTGCAGGCAACTAGGCACACACATCTATGACCACACGACCGCTAATGCAATATAGCCGGCGTACGATTTATGGTCACTACTGTGTGGATTTCAAATGTCGAGCAATTAAAGTTGTGACTAGTCATTTCTCTACTTTCTCTTCTAGTGTCGGGTTTGCGCGCAAAGTGTGAGAGAGAGCAGATTTGAGTGAGGCCATATAAGTACTACCTTCTTCTCCAAAGGTTGGGTGTCGACCAGATCTCATTTGCCACAACTATTGACAACCTCCAAGCTTACACTCCATCCTCTCTAGTCACTTAAAAGCTCATTTCTTGAGAGCAAAATAGAGAGGAGACCTAGATCTACAATTGCCAAATCAACCTTGAACTCTCCTATTTTTCTACCAAATCTACAACTTTGGGAGCTCCCTTACTTTGTCTATAATCTTCTTCTCAAGCAGTTAACCAATTCTCACTTAAGAATCTGAATTATGCTGCACTTCAGAAACTAGGCAATCACAAAGTCTTTGTCAATCTGTGGTCTGTACACACTAAGAGCAACTCCAACGCGCCGACCCAAATAGACACGAGCTTTGTCTGCTTTTCGTTCGTTTGGGTCGGCCACCCGCTCAGCGTCCGCCCTGTTTTTGGTTTGGGTTGGCCGTGCGCCCAAAGCGCGTGACCCATTTCATGTCCACGCATAAATTTTAAAAGGACCGCGGCCATAGATCATGCCAGCGTCCATGCCATCTCCCGGATGCCGACGCCATGCCAGCGGCAGGCCGACAATGCCAACCTCCAAAAAAACTACCATACAGTTCATGTTGGTGCACTTGCCAGCGGCCGGCACACATGCCAGCACACAAAAAGGGGCGGGAGTTCGACCATGGCATCTTGGTCGTGGTCATGGCAGCACACTTGTCGACATAAAAAAGGGATGGCGCTCTCAGCTATAGATCACTCGTCGTCGAACTTGACCATGTCGGCATGCATCTTCTCGAACCATGGCCGCTTCCTTGGTGACATGGTGTTCAAGTCCACCTTCATGATCTCTAGCCCCGTCATCATGCTAGCGAGCGCCACTTCTTTTGCCTTGGTCTTGGCATTAGCGGCCTCGAGCATCTTGGCTTGCTTCTCCGTCTCCTTCTCAAGCATCTTGACTTGCTTCTCCACATCGAGCTCAAGCCTCCTCCGTTGGATCTCCATGAAGGCATTCATTTGCTCTTCCTTGTCTTGCCGACGCTTCTCGTACCTTGTGTCCTTCTTGGTCATCATGCCCTCTAAAGTGGCGTGCAAGGTAATGGACGCCGCATCGCGCTTGTCCTCCTTCTTGGAGTTGGGTCCCCCCCCCCCCTGCGACCGTGGCTTCTTGCCCTCCCCATGCTCCTCAACGGCTCCCCCCCCACACACGCCTTGGTGGCGGCATATTGTGCCTTGAACTTCTCCTCCCCATTGATGACCATCCAACAATGGGAGAGGTTGAAGGACTTGCCCTTATGTTGGGCCTTGAATGCCTCCAAATCTTGGAATGCCTACAATGAATAGCATGCAAGCATATGGGCAAATGGACATGCAAATGAACATGCAAGCATAACGGAAATGGATACAAAGAGGGGCGCATGTATACCATATCTTTCATGCCGATGCCGCTCACGGGCGTGCCTTGATGGTCACAAGGTTGGCACAAAACTTCTTGCACTCTTGTTGTATCACTCTCCATCACTTCGAGAGGGACACCCACCCGTGCTTGCTCTCCATTTGGTACGACGCAAACTTCTTGCATTCATGGTACTCACAATGAACACAAAGCCAAAAGGTTGATGCCTTTTGCTCGGCGCCGACCTTAGGTTCTTGCCTAATGTCCCTCCAATACTCACAAAGGAGTTTGTCCACGGACGGCGTGTATGCCTTCGTCCGCTTGCTTTTGCGCTTCTTGTTTGCTCCGGCTTGGTTGGCGAGCTCGCCCTCGAACAAAGGCTCGCCGTCGATGTCCACATCATCCTCTTCCTCAAGGCCGTAGTCCTCGGGAAATTCGTGGTCGAGCGGGAAGGTGCTGCCCATGTTGACCTGAACTTGCATGAAGGTGTCGTCCATGCCAGGTTGATCATAGGTGGTGGGCATGAATGGCGCTCGACCGTCTTGGCCTTGGGTCTCCTCGGTAGCGAAGGGAGCCGCGCCGGCACCGCCGGCGGAGGCAGCGGCCCCCCGTACCGCCTTCGAAGATGATGTTCTCTATGATGAAATGGTTGGCCATTTCGTTGTCACCGATGGTCGGCATTCTGTCGAAAAGATTGCGGGCGCCAGGAAGCATGTTGGCTAGTATCTCTCGCATGAGTTTATTCGCCCCTTCGGAGGATGATGCACCGGCCACTGTCGTGGCGTTTAGGTCGATGGCCATGGGCACGGCCGTGGGCGTGGACGGCGCCACCACGCTCACCTCCGGCGAGCATTCCCCAAAGAAGCGGAAGTCTTGCGGATAGACATGGAAGCCGGGAATCGGCTATGTGGCAGACACACGTTGCAACTCTAGCAGCACCATCCGAAGAAATGCCGACGAGCCCATGCTGGCTGCGGCCACAGCGGTGCTGACGAGCCCGTGCTGGCCAGGGTTCAACCCTAGGTAGAGCAAGGCCTCCCTCGTTGCTGCGGCGACTCGGGCATTGCTTTCCTCTTGCTGTGCGGCGGCGGAGAGGGCGGCGACGGCTGCTCCTTCGAGCTTTGTGCCATGCGTGTGCCTCCTGCCCTTCCTCTTGGCCGACCGCAGAACCCGCTCCTCGGGCGTCAGCTGCTTCTTCTAGGGCGGCGCCGCAATCTTGCGGGGCACGCAGGGCTTGCCTTTGGCGAAGGCGACGGAGGTGAGGTTGGACGAGGCGAGGGACACGAGGCCGATGACGGCATCGAGGGTCGTGCGTCATCCATGGCAAGCGATTGGGAGCTCGTGCAGGCGGGAGTGTTTTGGGTAAGTGGAGGAAAATGATGGTCATTGTGCCACCGACTGGCGGGATAGGGGAAGGAGTAGGCACGCGCACGAGAGTGTTTTGGGTAAGTGGAGAAAAATGATGGTCGTTGTGCCACCGACTGGCGGGACAGGGGGAGGAGTAGGCACGCGTCGTGCGCGTCCGATTCAATGTCCGCGCCAACACAAATGAGGCCCAAATTTGGGCCAGGAATGGGTCGTCGGGCGGACATTCGTTTGGGTTGGCGCATTGGGCCTGACTTATGTGTCCGTTTTGACCCAAGCAGACACGTCCGGACGAAATAGGTCGGCACTTTGGAGTTGCTCTAAGTGACTTGATCAACTAAAACATAGATAAATACAAATGTACTGGCAAACAAGTTCTCGCTACCCAGTACTATCAGCCTACTTGATGTACATTTCGAAAATGCATATGCTGTTTCAGCGACTTTTGGAAGTTGAGAGTCGCGATCAGGAATTACTCTTGTGGAATGTGGATTCCCATCATAGTAATCTACCATCCAGTACGATCATAAGCAGAAGGCTTATTTCATCCTCTGTTTTTGCCAGCGAAAGCTTTATTTACATTTTACGTCCCAGATGATGTTTCTTATCGCAAGCAATTTCAACACACGCGGCCTTGACTTGGACTGCTAACCCAGGTCAGGTGTCTCCACCATCGACATGCGCCGGCCGGCTCTTCCTCCGTTCCTTGAGTGACATCAGACTTGAGAGTTCAGACTATTGCAATTTGACACTTAACACATAAGTAAGAAAGTAGATACAGTACTCAGTACAAACCTCCCGTGATAGCCCATCCTCTGCTTCGAGCATACGAACGGCCTGACCCATAGTAGGCCTTCTGTCAGCAACGGGGTCTACACACTTGAGCGCGACTAGGAGAGCACGCTTGAGAGCCTGTTTAGTTGGTTTAGCCTCCATTTCAGAATCAACCACCTCCTCTGCTCTCCTGCTGCCAACCATCTGTTTAAGCCACTCCACCATATGGACCTGCAGGGTATCCATGTCAGCATTTCTTTCCCCAATTAAAAACCACAAGATTTGGAAAGAAACAGGTATATATGTTTGAGGCATGCATGATTGCTACAGGGTTCTGTGCGTGCTCACCTCATTGGCAGGCCGGCTGTAGTTAACAGGATCCCTTCCAGTCACGGCTTCCAAGAGTAGTACCCCAAAACTGTACACATCGCTCTTTTCATTTAGCAGTCCAGTATTTACGTATTCAGGGGCTACATAGCTGAAAACAATGCAACCGAGTTAATAGATTGTTACCTTGTCAATTCCTAATGGATAATTCAACTCAGGGAAATGGGTTCACTGGATATCAATGTTTCTGCAACTCAGTGACAGCATGACAATAAGAGCTTACCCAAAAGTCCCCATAACTCGAGTAGTTATATGGCTCTTCCCTTCACCCAAGAGCTTAGATAATCCAAAGTCAGAAAGTTTTCCATTGAATTCTTCGTCAATAAGGATATTACTTGATTTGATATCACGGTGAATAACTTTTGGCTCTATGTCTTCGTGCAAATAAGCCAGTCTGCCAAGCAGAATGATTTGTTCAAAGAGGGCCCAATATAGAAGAAAGAAACCAAATTCAAGAATAGGACATCACTTACGCTTTAGCAATGCCAAGGGTAATTTTTATGCGGGCTTCCCAGGTAAGAACACCTTGTTGACGCATCGCACCATGCAACCACTGTTCTAAGTTGCCGTTGCTGATGTATTCGTAGACAAGCATCCTGCAAGAAGAGTTACTTAATTGTAGTGGCTGCAAATAGTAATTGTTACACAAAAGTACTATATACACCAATCAAGCAAATAGACTTTCATGTGTTTATATGCATTTATATAAACTTTAAAAGGTTATACTTGTATTGGCTTAAGAAAACAGACTTAAAACCTAAGGAGGAAAAAAATGGATCAACCAGTCACTCCGTGAAATAATTGCACCTCACGTGAGTCGAGCCCTGATGGGCGGGTTGGTGCTAGTGCACCAAGACAGTCTTTTCTTATTCATTCTACACCATCTAGATAAGTAAAAGAACATATTGTACAATGGATTATCTCGTAGTGTTATCTCTAGCAATGCTCCTCAGATTATTGGATGATTAAAATTAAATAAGGAAATGTGTGATCGAGACAAGACATCTCGTATAATGGTGAAAAATGTCTTCTATTTCTTGCTAAGAGGTCATCTCTTAGCTAAGAGGAGGCAAACTCCCTTTTTCCTCGTTCATCATACAATCTACATGGTACTGCCAAGATAACACCATTGTAGATGCCCTAAGGAGATAGGAAGCTATTTAGGCCCCGTTCGGAAGTCCTCCAGATTCAAGAAATCCACGTCTCCAGCTTCCAACGCCAGCTTCCAGCTTCTCCGTGAGGTGCTGCGTGCGTTCGGGAGGCTGTGGCCAGCTTCTCCCTCCGCTGCATGGGCTGGCGATGGGCTACAGGGACATGGGCTGTTTGGGAACGAAGATGGTGACATGGGCTGCCGGCCCAGTTCGGAGTGAAAGGCGTGGAAGCGTCCACGTCTACTCGCTGGCTCGTACAGGAGCTCGGGAGGAAATAGATCGAACCGGTACGCAACTTAGCGGTGGCATTCCCATGTAATTTCAACGAAGTCCAACTTCTCGTTTTGAGCTGGAAGCTGGGAGCTGGGTTCGACTAGCTTCTCGTTTTTGCACTGGCAGGGTCGTTTGCTCCGCGAAGCCAGCTTCTTGGAGCTGCCGCGTTCGGGACGGCTCCACGCGCTGAGCCTAGAAGCTGGGAGCAGGAGAGGTTCCGAACGGGGCCTTACTGTACGATATACCAATACTCAATCCATAATAACATAAGGACATGACTGTGGCAGACAACTGTTGTGAGCAAATATTGGTCAGGTAAGATCAATTATGAACAAAGCAGTATCTTGTCACCTAGGCTCGACATAATATTAGCAAGACGTGATTCAGACTGCATAAATCAAACATATACATAAACTTCAAATATATTTTTAGGCAAATGACGAGCTAAAGATGGTAATATTACACATGTTTCTTGAAACAGCATTGGTACCTGAACTGCATATAAAGTGGATGAATGCTTATCATAAATCTCTTACTAGTTACTAATTCGCAAAATGATTCTAAATGATGCCTTCATACTCATATTCAACATTTAATAACTGAACATAATAAGCATCAAGCACACTAAGATAACAACTGAAAACTTTTGTTTGAGATAGACAACAATGTTGCATATTCTATGTGGAGCTAGTGTTGGTATCTGATTATATACAATTTTCCTCAGTAGATTTGAGATGACAAAGTCTGCTAGCTAACTGTATCAATATTTTGGTAATTAGTGCATTGTACATAAACATTGAAAGCAAGCCTTGCAATCATACAAATTGCTATCTGCAACTTTTAACTAAAGAACTTAAAAAATAAACTCAAGAGATGTGATGGGAATAAAATAATAAACATGAAAAATATATAGTAATGTAACTATCCGTGCAAGACAAATATATGGGACTGCAGCTTGACGAATATTGGTGAATGGAAGAAAAAATAAAAAAATCTGGTTAACAGAGTGTGTAAACAAAGATTCACCTGTGGCTTCCCTCAACACAGTAACCCAGAAGTCGCACCAGATTCTTATGCCTAACATGACCAATGGCCTCAACTTCGACCCTGAACTCTTTCTCTGCCTGGCCCCTGGAAAAACATACCAAGATTTCAGAGAAGTCAATAATATATTACTCACAGCATGTAATTTTGTGGTCTATAAGAAGTTATTCTTTATGGTAAGAATCAACGTTAATGTCTCTTACACGTTATTAAAAAGTTTTTTGATTGCAACATCAGTTCCATTTACAAGACAGCCATGATAAACAACCCCATATCCGCCCTCTCCAATGATATACTCATTAGAGAACCCATTTGTTGAATGCTCCAACTCTCTGAGAGTATACCAATGACCCAAACCCAGGTGAGAGAACTCTGGGAGACCAGCCCGAGGAGACATGGACATGGTGGCACACTGAGAGTACTCCCTCTTATCATATGCTGAACTGCCTTCATCACCAGAGTATAACTCCTGGGCCCTATCATATTGGTGCGAGCTGCACTCAATCAAATTATGATCATCACTTGATTTGCTCGTAATCAAGTGAGCGAACACTTTCCCCGATTCTTTCTCTGGATCTCTCTCCTTCACTGGAAAGATGTGACTTTCTGGGGCACAGATGTTCTCCACAAAAGCTCGGCTACCAACTTCATCTACTGCAATCTCTTTGGTTACATCTGGGATTTCAGGCTCAGCAATATCATGATGATTCCCTCGTCTCCTCCAGTATATCAACAGGAAGCATATGAGGCCTAGGACAAACAGAATTGCAGCCCAAATGCTTATGCCAAGCACAACCCATAGTCTCAAACCAAAAGGCGGGGTTCTGGACAATAACTCCACCCGTAAGTTTTCACTTGTTGACATTATGATTTCCCTGCAACCAGGACACACTTCAGCATTAGGTCATCTTTGCTGCACATCATCAGAAATAATAGGATTGTGGTGATATTTTTAGACAGTATAAATAAACAAAGAGATTGAATAACAAATTGGTAACACATAAAGCCATTATCAAGGTAACCAAAAGGAGAATAAAATGCCTAGTTACATAAAGGTTATTCAAGTAAATCACACAAGAATGGCTTTACTAGAAACCAAGAAAGTGTTGATGGCACTCCAGAAAAATATTGAATACAGTACTAACATAATCTCTTCAGTAAAATGTAACAAAATGGCACAAGATCATGTAGAGATCCCTGCCTTCAATGATTATAGAATTATACGAGAACTAAACACCGAGTTACAGATTGTTTACCTGACCGACAACTGGACAGTCGCTTGCAGCTCATAGACCAGACCAGCAACATAAAAACCTAATTCAACATTGATAAAAATGTTAAAAGATGATTATCTACAGAATTCAGGAAGTCCAAACGATCAATTTGTTCATAGTGTATAAGAAAAACAACCGTTATAAAGCAATTGCTTGGCCTCTGAGTGCAACTAACATTAGCTCCAAAGATCAAACATGATACTCATGTTATGAAGCAACCTTGAGTACGTGATGTTTCCCAGAGTACTGCTGATACATTGACAAAACAAAATAATACACAAAAACTCTATATATCATGATCAAGAAAGAAGAGGCGACCCAAATTTCATAGGGAACAGACTGGAAGCAGAGATGGGGAAGTCCAGTTTACAGATAGAGGATGATAAAGACTAGCAGTTTGGGTTCAATTATGAGCGACATTCATCCAAGAGAACCAAGAAACCATTAACTTGGTTAATCTACCTGGAGCAAACACCCAGAACACATTAACACTGACTAAATCTGGGGCAAGTAGCTCCGGTGTCTTCCATGGGAGCACCATGTGAGTGACACAGGACGCATCTTATGGATGTGAGCCTTGGTAGGCAAACACACAAGCAACTCGCCTGCACTCTCACGAACACCACCAGCACGCATATAAACCACACAGCCTCAAACTAGAGACATGTTATCTTATCAACCATGCTCACCTGGGCATCATCAAGCGGGCCAAGAACGGGCAGAGGAGGCCGAACCCGTCCGCCAGCCCACCGCCCGCGCTCACGGAGACCACCATTCGGCCCCGCCACCGCTGCCCGCTGGTACTCCTACCCTACTGGAGAGGTGGAGAGATCGAAGTGGCCGAGGCCAGCCAAGTCGAGTCTTGGTTGAGGCGAGGAGATTTCTCTTGGTTGGTGAAGTGCCTCTCTTCCTTCCTGGCCCGTTCCGGCACACGCTTGTTGGTTTCTTTCGGCCGGAAGTCCGTGCCTGGAGTAGCACTGGAATTTAGTAGTACCACCAGCTCGTTTTCTTTCTTTTTTCTTGGTTGGATTTTGGTGAGCTGTATCCGGATCAGCTTGTCTGCCGAATTAAAACGCCAAAATAGATGAAAATTTCTTCTGTGAACGGAAAAAACAAAGGCTAGATGCATGAAATGAGACTAGTCTACACTTGTGAAATACTAATAAGGAGTACCAATATTTTCTGTGAACGTGTGCAATCGTGACCAAGTTGTTCGGTCAGGAATATCTTGCTAGGTTGGGCTCCCTTCCTTGGCTAGGCATTATCCTCTCCTCCTCCTTTGCTTTACAACTCCCACTGACTATAAGTGAAAGAAAAGCAGGGGCGCACTCGTGTAAAGATGGTACCGGCTTTGGGGTTCATCGACCTGTGTTGTATTGCCCTCCTTTCCTTTCCTTCTTTTCTTTCCTTGAGGTCGAAGAAACCAAAAGAAGATGGCGCATGTACGTACGTACGTACGTTCGCTCTGGAGCAGGCATGAGTTGCGAGCTGAGAAGGAACCAACACCAACCTACTCCCGCGTGTCATGTCACCTTGTGTTTCTCGCCAAACAAGAAATGTAACCATGGTGCGGGGAATTATAACGGGTGCAAGACAAAAGCTGGTGAACGGTACGTACCAATGGGCAGATATCTGTAGCTTTCCCGTGACAAACCAAAGAGTGCCCGCTGCATTCTCATGTGACGAGATCTGGATGAGCGACCGTGTGTGTGTCGGACCCACCACGGGCCTCCGCCCGTGAACTCCCCTACCGAACTCTCACAGGAATCTCATGCTTCATGGAGTTGAAAACATTTTAGCAGCCTGTTCAAAAATAATTGCTTGTTTCAAAAAATAAAATAATATAAAAGATTTTTCATGCAAGTACTCCCTCTATTTCTTTATAGAGGAAGTACCGACCAGTAGTGTGGCGGGTTTTTCTTTGGCCGCTCTAGTCAATGAGGGCTTTCAAATTCAGTGTAGAACTTGGTTGTTTTATGCTTATGCTGCCATTTTCATGTAACCGTGTTGGTTTTTTATTCGAGGAAAAAGAGTATTCATTCATTGGCGGCCAAGTCTGCATTACATAGGTTAGGTATCTCGTTCAGTCTTGATCGAAGCCACACTGCAGTGCGCTTCTTTATTCTACCATAGTTTGCTAAAAAGTGGCTAACAACGTTTTGCTCCCGCCTAACATGCTTGAATATGAACTCCCTATTATCCTGATGAAGTAACGATTTAATCTCCTGGACCATCATCATATATGTTGATCTGATGTCTCCTTGGTCAGTGGTCATCTTAACAAGCTCTGAGCAATCTGACTGGATAACGATTAGCAAAGCTAACCACTGGATGGCTAAGGAGACGCCTTCCACACAAGCTGCTATTTTCGATTGCAACGGCGTTGCACAGTGCTATAAATCACAGCAGGAGGAGTATATGATTGCACCACATTTATCTCTAAGCACCATGCTAGCTCCCGTTGTGTTGTCCACTTTCGAAAGAAAAACATCAATGCTCAACGTCACCCAACCCACCGAAGCCGGGGCTCCCAGGCAAGCATCTTCGGGTCCCAACACACATGTGATAACGGGTTGTTTTTGCTTAGTTGTGCGGCTCCCATTTTGCCGTTAACGTGGTCAGCATGAGGGTTGGCCTATAAGGCTAGCAGGGAGGTAATATAACTGGAGAGAAACTGGGTCGACACCTCGATGGGTGGCAGGCGTTTGTTGTGGATGATCTCGTTGCAGACATGCGAGCATCTCCATAGCGTCATCAGTGTACACAAGCGCCCTTCCTCTGACAGCTCCGCCAACACATGGAGGAATCAATCCATCACTGTGTTTACTAACCTTCGGACGTCTGGAATATCCCATTGTTTTGCCATTAATCGTGTTGGCTCATGTGTACCGCATGAATTAGGTGTAGAACTGGGTGCCCTCAAAGCAACTCTAGTAGTCTACCCTAAATTTGGGAGTGACATATGCTGCTAGTTCATTAACTTAAACTGATTGCACACTTTAGTCCAACAACTCGGGAATTGATCAATTTAGAACATAAACTCATTAATTTAATCAAACAAACGTGCAATGCATGTTAGTATTAGTCAAGACATTAATTTTATTACATATTAATATTAGGCAAGATATAAATTACGTGTTAATATTAGGTAGGATATAATTACTTGGTTAATTAGTGGACAATGCTTAAATGTGTTTGTTGGAAATATGCCCTAAAGGCAATACTATTTGTATTATTATATTTCAATATTCATAGTTAAGGAGTTTATATTCTGTGCTATAGCTGCTATGATTCTAAATATACAATTCAGTGGAAAACTCATATGCACGTGTGGAATGATAAACAGTTAAATAGAAGGTTCCTAGTCTTGCCTCTGGGACTAGCTCAAGTGTAGTTAGTGATCACGTTTTCCGGATCTTAGGATATCGTTAAGTGTAACGATAATCCTAAAACAACACTAAGACGTTGGAAAAACGATCATATTTGAATTGACCCAAACTTGTTTGTTGTGAATTGGATTAATATCGTCTATATTCAATTGTATTCACACGGAGTGTTAACGTGTGATCTTGCTCCTTAGACCATGAGAGTATCGTGGTCGCTTCTTACCGTACGATGTGCTTTGGGGTTGCTCAAACGTCACCTGTAACACGATGATCATAACGACAACTTACAAGTTCATCGGAAAGTTTGACAAGTGGCCGGATAGCTCGAGAGTGGGATTTGCTCTGATATGTCTCCAACCTATCTATAATATTTTATTGTTCCATGCTAGTATATTATCAATCTTGGATATTTTATATAGATTTACAAGCAACTTTATATCATTTTTCGGGACTAACCTATTAACTTAGTGTCCAGTGCCATTTTTTTCTTCTTATTTTTGACTTTGCAGAATATCAGTGCCAACCGAAATCCAAATGCCACGAAACTTTTTGGAGATTTTTTTCTGGCAATAAGAGACCCTCGAAGCTTCTGGAGGGAATGCGAAGAAGAAGGAGTTGCCCACTAAGCACCAAGGCGCGCCAAGGGCCTCTAGCGTGCCCTGGTGGGTAGTGGGGCCCACAAGGCTCCGTTTGACCTACCTCCGCCTCTATAAATACCCAGAAAACACAAAACCTACCAGGGATTCCACGAAATACTTTTTCCGCCGCCGCAAGTTCTAGAATCATGAGATCCCATCTAGAGGCCTTTTCCGGCACTCTGTCGGAGGGGGAAACGATCATGGGGGGGGGTCTTCATCATCCTTGCTGCCCCTCAGGTGATGCGTGAGTAGTTTACCACGGACCTATGGATCCATAGTTAGTAGCTAGATGGCTTCTTCTCTCTTTTTGATCTTCAATACAATGTTCTCCTCGGTGTTCTTGGAGATCTATTTGATGTAATGACTTTTTGTGGTGTGTGTGTTGGGACCCGATGAATTGTGAGTTTATGATCAGATCTATCCATGAAATTATTTGAGTTTTCTCTGAACTCTTTTATGCATGATTATTATAGCTTCGCATTTCTTCTCGGATTTATTGGTTTGGTTTGGTTTGGCCAACTAGATTGATTTATCTTGCCATGGGAAGGGGTGCTTTGTGATGGGTTCGATCTTTCGGTGCTCAATCCTAGTGACAGAAAGAGACATGACACGCATGTATCGTTGCTATTAAGGGTAACAAGATGGGATTTATTTCATTCGTGAGTTTATCTTGTCTACATCATGTCATCTTGCTTAAGGAGTTACTCCGTTCTTCCATGAACTTAATACACTAGATGCATGTGTGATAGCGGTCGATGTGTGGAGTGATAGTAGTAAATGCAGAATTGTTTCGGTTTACTTGTCTCGGACGTGATGCCTATATACATGATCATTGCCTCATCATGATTATTTGCTTTTCTGTCAATTGACCAACAGTAATTTTTGTACCCACCATATGCTATTTTCTCGAGAGAAACCTCTAGTGAAAACTATGACCCCGGGTCTATTTTCTATCATATATTAAAACCAAAAGTACCTTGCTACAATTTTATTTTATTTTGTATTTTTATTAGATCTATCTATCAAAAACTATATCTTTTAATCTTTCTCGTAACCGTTGAGGGATTGACAACCCCTCTACGCGTTGGGTTGCAAGTATTTTTGTTTGTGTGCAAGTGCTATTTTACATAGTGTTGCTTGGATCTCCTACTGGATTGATAACCTTGGTTTCAAAACCGAGGGAAATACTTATCTTTATTATACTGCATCATCCTCTCCTCTTCGGGGAAATCTCAATGCAGCTCACAAGGAGCAGGAGGAATTTCTAGCACGGTTGCCGGGGGGACATCATCAACATCTATCAAGTACCTACGCATAAACTTTCATCTCCTTGTATTTACATTATTTGCCATTTGCCTCTCGTTTTCATCTCCCCCACTTCCAAAAAGTTTTTACAAAAATACAAAAATATTTTTTCGTTTGCCTTTTTCTTGTTTGCTTCTTTGCTTGCTTTTATTTTCTTCATGTCATGACTCAAAAACAGAAAAGAAACAAAATAATTAAAAGATGACTATGGATCCACTTAATGTTTTTGTTGGTAAATGTAGCATGCAATTTCATAAAAATTCCTACGCTCACGCAAGATCTATCTAGGAGATGCATAGCAACGAGAGGGGGAGAGTGTGTCCACGTACCCTCGTAGACCGAAAGCGGAAGCGTTAGCTACGCGGTTGATGTAGTCGAATGTCTTCTCGATTCAACCGATCAAGCACCGATCGTACGGCACCTCCGAGTTCTGCACACGTTCAGCT